ATTAGAGATATGAGCCAACCAATCCTAAGTGAGGGACAAGATAGTCCATGCAGGGAGCGAAGGACATAGAAAGACAGAAAAGATGGACTTTGTTCCTTTATTAACCTAGTTACAGCGAAGCTAAATCTACATGAGTGCTGTGTGATTATCAGATTATGGAATATTGCCTCACCTGACTCTTGTCTTGCTGATAATAATAGTATCATAGTAATTCTGCCTTATAGTGAAATTTGTATAACTATGAAGTAAGCAGGAGGGAAGGGCAGAGAAATTAATGTTATAAATTTTTCTACTTATCACAGGATAGCTGCTCAACATGTCTTCCATAGACCCTAAAACACATTTACTCAGAATTTGCTTTATGCCAGGCCTGGAGTCTTACATTCAGCCTATCATTTAGACACTCTAGGACCTCACACTTTAATCCCCCCAAATACCTCTGTATTAGCATTAACACTTCTATTATGTTATACAAGAAACTACTATGGATTGGATTGGTTAGGAAGTTCCTCAAGGTCCCGCAGCTAACAGATAAACTTCAAACCTAGGTCATTCTGATTTAGAAGCCCATCCATATCACAAAGCTTCACGTAGCTGGTTTGGCAAATATTTGCCATGTAAAACATGTTTTTGATTTGAATCCTTGGAAGACAAAACTAAAACAACTTAGTTGAAGTATGTTAATTATAATCAAATGTTCCAGGGCACTGAACAGGACTCAGCAATTCACAGAAACCACAGCAACTCATGCAGCTTTTAAGAAGCTGTTACCTGTCAGGATGGGTTATGTACCACTGCAATAACAAGCACATGCTATTTCTCAGTGTCTTTACACAACCAAAACTTCTTCCTCATGGCCAACTCACGAGGCCAGGCCAGCAAGGGGCTGGGTTCATCTTAGGTCTTTAGGGCCCTAGGCTAGCGGGAGTTTCATATCAACATGCATGTCCATGATTGCTGAGGCTGGAGGAGTAAGTCTCACACACTGGCTTTTACAGTGTCTTCCCCAAAACCACACATTTCACTTCCATTGACATTTCTTTGGCCAAAACAAGTCTTAAAGCCATACTTCAGAGAACTGGGGAAGTGTACCTCACTGTGTGTCTGGAAGGAAGCTAGAAAGGTCTGATGACTAACAGAAATCCCCTTCCCCACCTACAGGCAGCCATGTATCTGTTTTTTGTCACTATAGTTTTGTCTTTCCCAGAATGTAATGTAAATGGAGTCACACAATATATAGCCTTTTATGTCTAGCTTTTTCTGCTTAGCACGCTTTTGAGACACTCACATGGTTGCCTGTTGAGTTGGTCCTTCCCTTTACATTAGTAGGTGGTATTCCATTGCAGCCATTCCACAATTCTGTAGGTGAAGGGCTATTCAATATTTTTTTCAGTACTGAGGATAGAATCCAGGCCTTAGCCATTCTAAACAAGAGCTGTAACACTAAGCTACATTTCCAGACCTTTTAAAATTTAAGTTTTGAGACAAGGTTTCACTAAGTTGCACGGGCTGACCTCCAGCTTCCAACCCTCCTAGCTCAGCCTCCTGTATACCTGGAATTCCAGGAATGTACTGCCAATGCCTGGCTGTCTAGTATATCTTTAAAATACTTTCTTCCCAAATACCTATTTGAGCACTGATATGAGAAGTTTTTGCTAAGGGTTCCGGTTCAGTTACATGTCAGAGCTGTGCATTTATTCACCATTAG